CCTACCTAAAGTTGGGAAGAAACTCGGGCTATTGACCGAATTGCTAATTGTCTAAATGTGTTTAAAAGGTCAATATTTTTTATTTAGACTATATTCTAATCGTAAATAAATAAATTTTTAATTATTTTTTAAAAAGGCACTAATTAATTTAAAGTAAAAAATAATATTTAATATAAAATAAAAATTAACTACCTAATTAATTTTAAAATGAGTATTAATTAAATAGTTAATATAACCTTTAATAATTATTTGTTAAATCATTTAAATAGTTTAAAATTTTATTCATTTTCATTAAATTTTTAAAAGCCGCCGGAAACTTCCATGGGAAAAAACCGTCGGAAATGCACCAGAAAGCCGCCGGAAATGTGTTAGAAATTGGGCATCAACTACACCGAGACGTTCAGCCCCGTAGCCAAGATGCCGACAATACGTCTCTTGCTAACTCTTGCTCTCCATCGTCAATGGCCAATGTTCCAACTCGACATATCAAACGCTTTCTTACATGGAGATCTCCTCCGACGACATCTACATGCGACAGCCTCCCGGCTTCATCGATCCACAAAATCAAACTGCGGTTTGTAAACTCCATAAATCACTATATAGGCTCAAGCAGGCGCCTCGACAATGGTTCCAAAAACTTACAAGCTTTCTTCAATCGCAAGGCTTTACTTCAGCCGCTCCGACCGTCTCTCCTCCTCCTCAACACTAATCAAACTCAACTTTATATTCTCATTTATGTTGATGACTTCTTAGTGACAGGTAATGATGCCTCGGCCATTCGGCGTCTCCTACAACAACTCCAATCTCAATTCGCTCTCAAGCAACTTGGCAGCATTTCACTCTTCCTCGGTATCCAAGTAATTCAATCCAAAACCGGTTACTTTCTATCACAGAAACACTATGCTACAAAGCTTCTCGATGATGCAGGATATAAACACTACAAACCTGCTCCGACACCGATCACACCGCCCTCCAAACAGCAAGCGGTGAACAATCAACCCTTCCAAGATCTATCCCTTTACCGACGTCTCGCTGTTCACTACACTACCTCTCTATTACATGGTCGAACATCGCCTTTGCCACAACCGAGTGTGTCAACACATGCAAAATCCGACCAAATAAGATTTCAAAGCACTCAAACGCCTTCTTCGTTACATCAATGGCACTCTCTCATTTGGCTCACCAATCACCACCGGAACTCTAGACTTACACTCTTACTCAGATGCGGACTGGGCGTCCGACGCAACGGACCGAAAATCCATCTCAGGATTTTGCACTTTTCTCGGTCCAAATATCATATCCTGGACAGTTAAAAAGCAAGCCACCGTTGCAAAATCATCAATTGAAGCCGAGTATAGGTCGCTCTCTGCTGCCACCTCGGAGGTCATTTGGCTTCGTCGCCTCGCTGCCGAGCTCAATCTCCTGCAGCCATCTCCGACAACTATACATTGCGACAACACCTCAGTCATAGCAATAGCCAAAACCCCCATCTTCCACGCAAGGACAAAACACATTGAGATCGACTACCACTTCATACGTCAACAAATCAGCTCCGGTGACATCAAGCTCGCTCACATCTCTTCCAAAGACCAAATAGCGGACATTCTAACCAAACCGTTCTCTATCACTCGATTCAATGAACTACGAAGCAAATTAACCATTCGATCTTCTAATGCTTAATTTGAAGGACGCTATTAGAATATAAAACAATTATTGTATTTACCATTATGTGTATTTACGGCTTTACCTTTATTTTCTATATATATTTAAACCACTGTATTCTGCCTGATTCAAGTAATATACATTTCTTTGCTATTTCCACTTCCGTCTCCCTGTCTCTTCTTCTTTCTCCCGTCTTCTTTCTTCCAAGCTCTCTGGGAGAACCCAAAGTAATGAGGAGAAAGGCCTTGATTGGTGCAATGGTAGAAACAAGACGAGGATTATGATGCCCCAACACCGTTGCTCTTCATAATTATGAGTCAAATTCATGTGATTCTGGATAATGCGGGTTAAGTCGCACAATGGATTTAGATCAGTTTGGTTCAACTTGGCCTGGTTTGGCTTGGTTCAAATTATTTCAACAATATACCAAAGAGAGCTTTGTAATCAATATTTCTATTCATATTATGTTCTTAAACATCTTTATATAACCCATAATGAAAGTAGCAGCAAACTGAGAGAGAGATAAATGTTACAATGATTTATTTTGAAACGCCTAATTAAGTGAACAACAACACCTCTTCCAAAATATAGCGGCGCTAGCACGGGTGCCGGCTCCGACTCAAATTATTAGAAAGAAACTATCAGTGTTAGAATACGCTATCCATAATTAAAATAGTATCCATGTTAAAATTCTTACACTTGATTTCATATAAAACTATATAAAGATTAATTAACTAATTTTGTTTTGAAGCTTACAAATTATATTTTGAATATTAATAAAGTTATAAATCTCATTGATTTTAAATTCATACATGTATCACTTCCCTAAGAAATCTAGCATCCCTCCATACCCTAAACCAATCGAATCAGTATTAGAATTTGTTATTCATAGTTGATTAATATAAGTAATAGTAATGTTAAAAATTCATGCAGCCAATCAAATGAGTCCAAAAATCCGAATCAAATATGTAAGTGAAAAAAAATATACTTTTAAATGATTTATTTTATAAAGGCTTATTATAGAAAGGAGGAAATGAACGATCCAAATCCACAACCAAATCCTCAAGCGTAGCAATATGAGCGATCCAATTCACCTGCAAACAATTAGAATACTATTAGTGTTTTTTTATTCACAATTAATGTAAGTAGTAATAGTTAGTAATGTTTGAAGCAGTCAATGAAATATGCTCAATTTGAAGACAACCCACAACCAAATCCAAGAAGAAGAAGAAGAAGAAGAAGAAATTTAGAGCAGAAATAATGTTCTAAATTAAGTTGATGTAACTATTGCTATTGCTAAATAATAACATGTCCTTAAATTAACCTCTTTATAAAGAGGAATTATAGTCTGACATAAGAAAATAACAACTTCCACCATACCCAAAATAAATATTTTATATTTTAGAAAGGATTATTATAGGAAGGACGGGAAGACTTAGTAAGCTCCAACACATCTGATTATTTCCTCTTTCAAATACTAAGGCTTCTTTTGGGACAACTTATTTGTTGCATTCTAAAACGGCTTTCTAGTACAAAAATTTTTTGAATAAAAAATATTTGTAATAAAAAGTAGTTTTATAAAGTAGCAAAAAAGTTGTCCCAAACGAAGCCTAAATATGCAAAACATTAGCCTAAACAACACAACCTCTTCCAAAATAATCTTTTCGTAAAAATCGCCACCCCATGGCTGTTTTGTTTTATGCAAACCATTAGAATCAAACTATCAGTGTTAGAATATGTTATTCATAGTTAAAATAACAGCGATGTTAAAATTCTTACACTTCATAATCAGTATTAGAATATGTTCAACAAATATTTTATGCTAAGCGACTAACATAAGTATGTGTCATCACAAATTTGTCGTCATAGGATATATGTTATATACTGACTTATGAATAATATCACCCCTTTATAGGATTTTCTTAACAGACATTAAATAGTAGTCGAGCATTAGTTTTCAAAAATGATCATGGAAAGGCTACATGCATATGGGCAAAGCCCTTCTAAGAGAAAAATAAATACATAAAATGGAAGAGTTCAACATATATGCCAATATAAAATTCATGTCACTATTTTTGACCTCTACAACGAGCTTGAAAGTTCCATATTTACTTTAAGCACTTCAAAAGTTTGGCTAAATTAAAGAAAAAAAAAAGAAATTAATTAGACTAAATTAAAGAAAATCAAATTCATACTATAATATCAAAAATAAATATTTCACAATGATTTATTTTCGAAAGGCTAAGTGAACTACAACATAACCTTTTCAATACAAGTATCAAAACTGCAACACGAACGTTGAGCCTGCAGAACCTTCCAAAGTATATTGAATATAATTAATATTTAAATAAATATATCATTGATTTTAAATTCAACGCACGTATCACTTTTATAAGAAACCTAGCATCCATTCGTGCCCGTAAACTATTAGAATTAATTATCCACATTTAATTAATATAAGTAGTAGCAATGTTAAAATTCTTACACAATTATACCAAGCCACTAGTTGCCTCCGTCTCGTCTGCTAGGGTTTTCGCCCTTTTAGGGCTTTTGCCCTTGCGTCTATGCTCTAGCCGTCTCCTTGCCGGCGGTATGTTTTTAATGGTGAAAAAATTGCTTGATCCTGGTTTTCTTACGGGTAAGCAACCTAAATCCTTTAAGGATGCTTTATCTGGTTCCGTTGAATCGAATGGTTTTCCGGATTTTCGCATTTCTTCGAATCGAGGTAAGCAATCATTGTGGTTTTCGGAAGAGGAATTTTTGCATCTAGCTAAGCCTTTTGAGTTTGCATTGGTGGGGAAATTTTCCCTTAAACGGCCATCTTTAGATTCAATCCGTAGGTTTTTCTTTGACCTAAAATTATCTTGGGATTTTTCGGTGACTTTGTTGGATCAAGCTAATGTTTTAATCAAGCTTGCCAATGATATGGATTATGCTAGGGTTTTTGCTCACAGATCTTACTTTGTCTATGGTTGTTTTATGAAAGTTATAAAGTGGTCTCCAGTTCTTGATTTGTCGGAGGAATCTCCGATCGTCCCTGTTTGGCTTTCTTTTCCGGGATTACGTCCCCATCTCTTTTCCTCCCGTATACTTTTTGGGTTGGATTCGGTCTTTGGTAGGCCGATTCACACAGACAATGTTACGGCTTCTGGATCTCATCCATCAGTTGCTCGTGTTCTTGTTGAAATTGATGTAACCAAATCATTTCCCGAATATGTTTGGTTGGGTCCGGAGAAATTGGGGTATGTCCAGAAAGTCATTTTTGAGGGCATGCCAAATTTTTGTTTATTTTGCAAAGCTTTAGGTCATAAGAAATTGGATTGTCCTAAACTTGTTTCCAAATCCTCCCTGGTTGTTAACTCTGCCCCCAGGACATTCCTTTTGTTCCTGTTTCTACCGATGTTCCAATTATTTCTCCGGGCTGTGAAATTGCTGCGAAAGTATGTGATGTTCAGACACCTGGTGTGGAGGGTGAGATCTTGCCTGATGTTGATTGTCGCGTTTGTTCGCCTGATGCGTGTGTGCTTTCTGGTATGGCTGTGGTGGGTTTTGATCAGGCTTTAGTTTCTCTTAATGCTGCTGTTTCAAATGGTGTTGATGTGGATCAAAATAATGTTAATGTTATCGTCCCAACTTCCGTCGATGTTGCGCGCGAGGGATTTGGTAAATGTACAGTGAATGCTAGGGATGTTGGTGAAAGGCTGGAGAATGGTTTTGATGTTAATTTTGCCTTATCTCCTAATGCTGTGCCTTTTTTCCACCTAATTTACCGTCTAATTGTGTTGAGGATTTGCCGGATATTTCAGTGGGTGACCTTGTTGAGGTTCAGCCTGGGGCAATCTCTCCGAGTTTAAATATGGAAGTGTCTCAAAAATGCACTCCAGTTTCTAATAATTTCATTGAGGTTCCTGAAAAGTTGGTTGATACGCGATTTGTGGGCAATTCCTTAGGTGACAGTTCTGGGCAGGATATTAGGAACCATATAAATTGGTTAGATTCGTCCGAGGGTGAGCCAGATTTCGAATTTTCTGATGGTGCTGGTTTGGTGTCGCCAGAGTTCTGTGGTGGTTCTGACCCGGGATTTGATTTCACTCTTGTTAATGTTAGACCCACTTCTTATGTTGGGACTCAGGGTAGAACTCGTGGTAGAGGTAGGGGTCGTTTCTTGTTCCCTGTTCCTGTCTTGGTTTTCTATATTGTTTTTTTTTTATGTGCGGCTTGCTGGTTTGTCGAAGATTGGGCAATGATGGGTTGGGGTTCGCATCAGTGTACTTCGCTGGTGGCAACCATTGCTGTAGAATTTTCGGGTTGGTTCGGGTTGGCTATTTTTTCCACCTTTTGGACGGTCCTGGTGGGGTGTCGGTGGTGCTGGAAGCCTCAACCACTTACTGAGCCCGCGGCTTATTGTAATTTTTCTTCTTTCTTTTTTCCTTGCTCTATCTTAATGTAACCGTTTTTTTTTTCTTGTTAAAAAAAATGTTAAAATTCTTACACTTCATATTCAGACTATATACATATTTTTTAATTAATTTTGTTAAGTGAAGGTTAGCAATTATATTTTGAATATTAGTATTAAAATATAGATCTCATTGATTTTAATTTTCAAGGATGAAGATTTCATTTTCAAGCTTAAAATTCATACATATACCAGACAATCACGGTAGAAGTTGTAATCCTACAAAGAATTAGAATTAGTGTTAGAATTTGTTATTCATAGTTTAAAAATACAATGGTTTATTTTGGAGATAATCAACCTCATTGGAAGAGCTGTCGTAAGAATCCTGCAAACCATTAGAATTAGTGTTAGAATTTGTTATTCATAGTTAATTAATGTAAGTAGTAGAAATGTTAGTTAAAGTTCTTGCACTTCATATTCAAACTATATATAGAGAGATTAATTAATTAATTTGGTTAATTGGTACTTAGAAATTATATTTTAAATATTAATTAAAGTATAGATCTCAATTAATATAAGTGGTAGAATCTACATTTGAGTTTTTTTATGCAGAATTAATATGATTAGCAGTAATTAATCCGGTCTTTAGAAAGTTTGTAAATTATATTTTCAGTATTAATATTATTAATTTAAATAAGAAAAAAATTTTATAATGCCCCAAAAGTAATTAAATTGTTAGCGCACATATTGAAATTGAGATGACTAAATTATTTGAAATAGCTAAATAAATATGACTGAATTATGCATTTGAATGGTTTTTTATGCGTACCTTATCTTGATAGGTGAGACCATGCCATTGGCACCACTCTCTCATCCCTGGACATTCAAATACATGTGCAAAGCCTTCTTTAAATGAAACTCTTCCAAATGAATGATCAAAGTCTTGGTCTGGATCTGGCTTGAGTCGGCAACAATCTTTCAAATTCAAAAGTTTAAGAGTGCCAAGATGATTATTCAAGTTGATCACAGACTTGAGGATGTGACAATGATAAATTATCACTTTTTGAAGCCTAGAAAGATGCCCAGCGCTATAAGGAAGTGCAATATATTCAAGTCTTGAGCAGGATTGCACATAAATCTTCTCAATACTTGATGGGAAGGTTGACATTTGTAGCAGGTTTTCACAATGAAATATGTATAAACACTTGAGGCTTGAGAAATCTCCATTCATCACCATTGGATGCTCTTTCCATTCAAGCAAATTTTTATTTGTCAGATATCCAAATGAATGAAAACTCACATGAGCCTCTATAGAATAATTCTCAAGAACATTAGGAGGGGCATTATAACACCAAAAATCTTGCCCCATTCTAGTTATCATATTATTAAGCATAATTTGAAGTGATGTGAGCGATGGTAGCTTAGACAGAGGAAGAAGCTTGCATTCTTCATTGTTGTAGAAATTTGCCAACTTTATCTTTATTAAATTGGAGAAGTGAGGATTTCCAAACCAACTTGGGAAGCTGTTACTATTGTAGCCATCTAGGGTTAACTCTTTAAGATTTGTGTGGGGTTGCAGGCCTTCAAGAATAGCTTTATCATTCCTTGCACATTCATCATATTTACAACATTTCCAGATAAGTTCTAGGCTCTCGACATATGGCTTACTTTGCAAATTGGTGCTCTTTGCATCTTCATGATCGACCACATTTTCAAGCCCATAAAGCTTTAGACTTATTTGTAAATTTGTTAGGGGTTTCAACAATCTAATACTAGAATATGGACCATTTCTTCTTATGTGATATGTAGATGCAAACAATTTTTTTTCTCCATCATTAAACCTAAGAGTAAGGAGATTTTTACTCCCGAAATATGCTTTTGGCACCAGTGCTTCATTCCTAGTTACAATCATCAAGTGATGTAAGTTGATAAGTTTTTCCATTACATGGGGTATCATATTTATATTAGGTGATACAATTTTTAGTGTTTGTATCTTATAAAGGCTACATAATGAGTTCTCTGCCATATGGATTACACTTGCATAGATAGAGAGGTAACGGAGTTGTTACAGGTAACCTATCGAATCTATAAATTCATAGCTGCATTAAAAATCAGGATTATGAAATCTTAAAACACGCAAGCATCCCAAATGAGAGAATGAAATCTTAGAATATAATCTATGAATGTAAAGTGTTCTTATATTCCCAAGTGGAAGAATATGAACAACCATTACGTCTGTTATGAATATATGCTTTGCGTTTTTGGGGATGTTCCTCAATTCATAAAAATCTAATGAAGAACATATCTCATTTCTGGTTATTGATTGAGCTAAATCATGCACCATGTCATGCAAAACGAATATATCATATTTGAACAATTGAAATAATGACCTTCTCACCAAGTCTTCAAAGTATTCAAGTGCAATATCTTCCCATAAACTTTTTCTTTCTGTAAGCTGAATGTAACCTTTATCGATCCACATTCTTTTCAATTCTGGTTTCTCAAAGTAACAATCCTTTGGGAACAGAGATGCATAGAGAAAGCATGGTTTAAGATATGATGGCAAGTGATTGTAGCTTATCCTTAGCGCAGACAAAATAATTTCTTTGGGATCCCATAAATTATTGTTTAACACATCCTTCCATGTTTGCTCCTTAAATTCATTTCGTAGAAATCCCCCAATAACTTTTAATGCCAAAGGCAATCCGTCACATTTCTTAGCAATTCTCCTCCCAAGTTGTTCAAAATCCAGCTGTTGATCATGCTTCCAACCATGGAAAGCATAACTTTGGAACAATAACCATGAATTCTCTTCATGCAAGCATTCAAGCCGAAGTGGGTACACCATTTGCATGATGTGAGCAACTGACATAGATCGAGTTGTTATAATAATCTTTCCTACTCCAGTACCAGAAAAGGGGGCTCATAAGGCCTCCCATATATCTGCTCTCTCATTCCAAATATCATCAAGAACAAGAAGAAATTTTTTATTCAATAGAGCATCCTTGAGTTTGCATTGAAGATAATTCAAGTTATTATTATCACTGTACTTGGATGAACCAACAACGGATGACAAAATTTCTTTTGTTATTCTCAAAACATCAAATTGTTCAGAGACACAAACCCAAACCTTTGGGCTAAAATAATGGCATACCTCATGATCATTGTATACAAGTTGAGCAAGTGTCGTCTTTCCCACACCCCCCATGCCGACAATGGGAATTACAATGTTCTCTGTCTTTGAATGAGACATTAACAATTGAATTATCTTTTTCTTTTCCTGCTCCCTTCCAAAAACATTAGATTCAAGCACAAGAGAACTACTTGGTGGCCTCTTCATAACATCATTGAAACGAGGCCGCCTAGGTGAATCTTCTTCTCTAAGATAAAGTGCTTTTCTATCATGTGCAATCTCATCAAATTTCTTTATGATCTCAATGATCCTCATGGCCATGTCACAAGAAATGGGAATTTTAATTGAATTAGAGGGAGGAAGTGATACCTGATCATAGTTTTCATGCATGATCAACATATTGATAAACATATACACTCGCTTTCTAATAATTATAATTTGAATTTAATTTAGGAGTGGAAGACATACCTGGTAGCCATAAATATCATCATCTTCAACTTGTTTCCATTTTAGAGAAGGCTTTACTTCAGCTATTGGTGTCATTCCTTCCAATTGGGTTTTGATAACTTGATAATCATATTGATCCAAGACATCTTCAGCATCATATGCAACTTCTCTGAGCTCGTTGAGCCAGAGTTGGATAGCCTTGTCATAGATCTCCCTCTCCTCGGTATCATGAAAAACTGCCTGAATTCTTTGCAGCATCCTCGACAATCGGCTCAAATCCTCCATTAATCTTTTTTGGTTCGAATTAACTTCGATAGCAGTTACATCTTCTTGTGTTATGGATGATGAAGAAGATTCAACCAATGAAGTAAAGGTAAGCATAAACTGGGAGAACCGTTTCAAGGAAGACAATTTTTATAAAGTAGCAAAAAAGTTGTCCCAAACGAAGCCTAAATATGCAAAACATTAGCCTAAAGAATACAACCTCTTCCAAAATAATCTTTTCGTAAAAATCGCCACCCCATGGCTGTTTTGTTTTATGCAAACCATTAGAATCAAACTATCAGTGTTAGAATATGTTATTCATAGTTAAAATAACAGCAATGTTAAAATTCTTACACTTCATAATCAGTATTAGAATATGTTCAACAAATATTTTATGCTAAGCGACTAACATAAGTATGTGTCATCACAAATTTATCGTCATAGGATATATGTTATATACTGACTTATGAATAATATCACCCCTTTATAGGATTTTCTTAAAAGACATTAAATAGTAGTCGAGCATTAGTTTTCAAAAATGATCATGGAAAGGCTACATGCATATGGGCAAAGCCCTTCGAAGAGCATTAAATAGTAGTCGAGCATTAGTTTTCATGGAAAGGCTACTACTTATATTAAATAAATATATCATTGATTTTAAATTCAACGCACGTATCACTTTTATAAGAAATCTAGCATCCATTCGTGCCCGTAAACCATTAGAATTAGTTATCCACATTTAATTAATATAAGAAGTAGCATTGTTAAAATTATTACACTTCATATTCAGACTATATACAGATTTTTTAATTAATTTTGTTAATTGAAGGTTAGAAATTATATTCAGACTATATACAGCCTGCAGTACACTGAATTATGCATTGGAATGGTTTCTTATACATACCTTGTCTTGATAGGTGAGACCATGCCCTTGGCACCACTCTCTCATCCATGGACATTTAAATACATGTGCAAAGCCTTCTTTAAATGAAACTCTTCCAAATGAATGATCAAATCTTGGTCTGGATCTGGCTTGAGTCGGCAACAATCTTTCAAATTCAAAAGTTTAAGAGTGACAAGATGATTATTCAAGTTGATCACAGACTTGAGAACGTGACAATGATAAATTATCACTTTTTGAAGCCTAGAAAGATGCCCAGAGCTATAAGGAAGTGCAATGTATTCTTCAAGTCTTGAACAGGATTGCACATAAATCTTCTCAATACTTGATGGGAAGGTTGATATTTGTACCAGGTTTTCACAATGAAATATGTATAAACACTTGAGGCTTGAGAAATCTCCATTCATCACCATTGGATGCTCTTTCCATTCAAGCAAATTTTTATTGAAGCCGTCCAAATTAGACTATTGGCATCAAAATGCAGAGTCTGGACGTAGTTTGCTTTCAGACTTTAATCAGGACAAGCCATATCATCCTGCACACATATTGTACACAATGTATAGGCGATGTGCCCGATTCTGATTGGAGACTGGACGGAATCTTGATCGTCCAGATTTTACACGTAATAATTTCTCCAAAATCATATACTATTTTGAGTGATTTCAAAATGTTTTTTATTATATGTTTTAAATCAGTTAAATATATATTTTTCCTAAAGGAGTTAAAAAAAAGTTATTTCAAGTTGAGCATATTATAAGGGATATGTATAAGAGTGTAAGTAGGGATATCAATTTTTGAGACGACTTTAAACCTGACCCAGACCCCATCGAAAAAAATCCGTGTTCGGGTTGACTTGATTAGCAAATGGGTCGGGTTTGGGTTTGGATTTTTGACCCGTTTCAAAAATGGGTCTGGTTCGGGTTGACCCGGATACCCAAAATCAACCCAATAATGACCTAAAAGTCAGAGTAAATTCCGAATTTCTGCCCGCACTTGCACAATCCCGCTGACTCGGACTTCGCAGTCGCGCGCTCATGAGTCGCGACTCCGCCTACACTCACCAACTCATGGTCCTGCGGACAACTCTGCCCGCCCTCACGGACCCACTGGCTTTGCTCGCTGCCGTGCACTCGTGACTCGGACTTTGACTCTGCCTGCGCTCGCGATCCTGCACTCTTGGACTTTACCGCTGTCGCGACTCGGACTCTGACTCTGCTACCCGCACTCGCGGACTGGCTCACGCTGCTTTAGCGATTCAGCCAAATCTACTAAATTCGGGTCCCGGCAACCCGTGCGGGCTGGATTCGGGTTGAAATGTTTGACCCGTTTGCAAAAACGGGCTGGATTCGGGTTGACCCGTTTAGATCTGGGTCAGCTCGGATTTGACCCGAACTAGACCGACCAATTCGAATTGACACCCCTATATGTAAGTGAGTAAACCTCCAATAACTTTAATGTTTAGCAATCGGGCCAATAAAATATTTATAGAATGTTCATAATAAAAAATTGTACGTAAAAATTTATAATATAAACTTTAATGGTTGCATCAATCTGAAGTTGCAAATGAATGTTGTGGTAGGAGGATGGAATCTTTCTTCCGAACTTTCAATAATTGTATGTCTTTCTTTGTAAGTCTCCAATAAAATTTTCCCATTTGGATGTCATTACTAAAAAATATAAACATATATGGGGAACATATTAAGAGTCCGTAAAAATTAGATATCATTAAAATATTATATATAACGTCTTACATTATATTAAATAAGTTTTAATGCATTGTTACTGTTTAATTCCTCTTGCATGACTAAGACCTAAAATTCATCAGATAGAGCTCTATTGATATTGGTGGGTTCAGCCATTTAGATAAAAACAGAGTGGTTCACTTCCTTCTAAAGTCCATGCCTAGTTCTAGTTTTTTAGGATGACTCAAAAAATATCTCTAATCTCTAGGCAAAGTGTATCTAGGTTTTACCCTTTCTTCCAAATTTTCATTTTCAACTCTATGGGTAATCTCACCTACTCCTTTAGTATTTTTAGGCTCTACACTTCTCTCTAAATTTTCAACTCCTTGGATAATCTTTCTAACTTCATCTTCTTCCTCAACTCTAGACATCTTAGGATCAGATTCATAAAACACTACATGAGTAGTCTCCTCCATCACAAATGTCCTCTTATTAAGTACCCTAAAAGATTTCCCCATACTTGAATATCCTAAGAACACTCCTTCATCAGATTTTGGGTAAAATTTTCCTAAGGGTGACTTCCCATTGTTAATAACGAACACTTTACAGCCAAAGACATAAAGGTGGGAAAGGTTGGGTGTCCTACCCTTAATGATTTCATAGAGTGTCTTATATATTTTGGATCTAACATTAACCCTATTCAACACTCAAAAAACTATGTTTATTGCTTTAGCCCAATAGTATTTTAGAAGTGAATACTCAATAAGCTTGTCTCTAGCAGCTTCAACTAAGATCCTGTTATTCCTTTCAGCTACCCCATTGTACTGAGGGGTCCTAGGAGCTGAGAAGTTGTGACTAATCCCTTATCCTCATAAAAGCCTCAAAATCTCTCATTTTCAAACTCTCCATCATAGTAACCATGAATGGTCAAGATCTCACAACCTAGCTTTTTTTAAATCCAAGTGGAGAAGGATCTAAACTCATCAAAAGACTCACTCTTATGAGACAGAAAATTAATCTAAGTGAACCTCAAGTAGTCATCGACAATCCATAAATCCATTGACTTTTGCCCCTAAGCTGGCAATGCTAAGGGGTCCAAACAAATTCATGTGAAGAACTTCTAAAGGTCTAGAGGTGTTAATATCCTTAATTGAATGGAAAAAAGGACTAGACTTGCTTCCCTAGTTGACATGCATCACATAGGTGGTGTTTAGTGAACTTAAGCTTGGGAACACCTCTAACTAGGTCTTTTTGAGTCACTCTCCTAAGGGTTTTCATACTATGACAAAACCTCCTGTGCCAAAACCAAGACTCATCAGTGATAGTTTTTAAGCAAAATGAAGTATCACCTTCAATGTTATTTAAATCCAGTATGTAAATGTTGTTAATCCTTTTGCATCAATCTGAAGTTGCAAATGAATGTTGTGGTAGGAGGATGGCATCTTTCTTCCGAACTTTCAATAATTGTATGTCCCTCTTTGTAAGTCTCCAATAAAATTTGCCCATTTGGATGTCATTACTAAAAAATATAAACATATATGGGGAACATATGAAGAGTCCGTAAAAATTGGATATCATTAAAATATTATATATAACGTCTTACATTATATTAAATAAGTTTTAATGCATTGTTACAGTTATTTCTAACATGTGTATATATATATATAAGTGAATGATTCTTGTAGCAAACCATTTTCTATTTTCTAAAATGCTGTGGACATAAATTTATTTTAATTTCATACCAAAACATAAATAAAATAAATTAAAAATATAAATAATTCTAAATTACCCATAAATATAAATATTGTACTTATCTTGTTTCAGCTCATTAGCTATCGCAAACGCTCTGCTAGGGGTTTTTTCCCTCCATGGCGATTCCTGTTTTCCTGCCATGCTCGTGCCTTTCGGCGACCTTTCTCCGATCAGGGAAGTGATTTTCTGCTTCTTTTTTGTGCGTGCCTTATTCTTTTTCTGTGCATTCTCATGTTTTTTGCTTTTGATGGCTAGTTTATGTTTGGTAAATGCTGATTTTCTTGATGGCAAATCTTCTAAGTCCTTTCGTGATGTGCTTTTGGGTAGCATTTCTTTTCTTCCCTACTTTGCAAATCTCTACTCATCGAGGGATTCCTTCTCTGTGGATTTTTGAGGCAGAGATTCATTCCCCTGCCAAGCCGTTTGATTCCGCTTTGGTTGGGAAATTTTCGACTCACCGACCGTCCCTTGAAGCTATTCAAAAATTCTTTTTCAATCTGAAACTAAACGTTGATTTCTCTATTACGGTGCTTGATTCAAAGAATGTTCTTATAAAATTAGCGAACGATTTCGATTATTGTCGTATCTTTATAGTTCCTATTTTATTAACAATTGTTATATGTTGTTGATCAAGTGGTTGCCTTCATTTGATGTGAATGTTGAATCTCCCATGATACTTTTTGGGTGTCTTTCCTGAATTTGAGAACTCACCTTTTCTCTTCGAGGATCCTTCATTGGCTCATTTCCATTCCCCCCCCCCCTCTTAAATTTGATCATTCTACTTCTGTTGGTTCTAGACCCTCTGT